AGGTGCAAACTTCATCTTCCTTGAGATGTAGGCAAACCCAAAGCCATACTCATTGCAGTCAACGGGAAAACCAGCCAAACCGGAAAACGCAATCACATTTGTTCGCCACAGCTGGGAAAGGAGAATGAGACATCACCATCATTTGCCCAACTAAATCAGCAATCTAGACACCTGAAACAGACATTCACGAGGGTTCTTAATTTTTTTCCTCCAGTTTCCAGGGTTGGGAGTCCCGTGATGTTTGCCCCGACTTCCCCAATGGCCTCAGCCCTCTGCCTGAAAGGTGGCCAAAAAGGATGCCAAAAAAACATCATTTATGAGTTCTTAGCAAACATTAGGCCCTTACCCAATGATCGGAAACCAATACTGATCTCTTGCATAATTGATCTCGTGAAAGTGACAGACTCAAGTACCATTTCAAGTCTACTTTGCTGAGTAGAGTCCTCTAAAGTTACTTCATTTAACTTCTCAATCTTGTCTTGCAATTCAGTTTTCAGGCAAAGGCACCGTTAAAGGGATTGCCCACAAACCCTTTTAAGATGGCTCACCTCGAAGATTCACCACGTTCATCTGCTGAGAAGAGATTCCTTTGTCTTTCCGTTGCAAGAACGCTCATACGTTTTCTTTTTCCAAGAAGCTTTTTGGAAGGCTACCTGGCCACCTTCCACAATCTGACTTTTGCATTATCATGTTCCTATCCCTCAGTCAGATGAGTTGGTACCAAAGCTCCCGATGTGACCAATCTTAACATGCCCTACTATTCTCGACTTTCTTCTTTTGAATTCTTCGAACCTATCACGACCGTCATGGTCAGGCTACGCACTCCTACAAATAGCGGCGCATGGCTACGCACCTTGTTGAGGGGCTACGACTCGTCATTTGCCAACGTTCCTGCAAGTGGCTGTTGGGTCTACAGCGACGCATGGCGATATGACTAGGAGCAAAAACACTACTAGGGGCTCCTGGCATCGCTACTAGGAGCAAGGACGCTACTAGGAGCATCGCTACTAGTAACAATGTTTGCTATTAGAAACAAAACAGCATATCACCTTTCTGAAACAACGACCTACTCCTCAGCCACATCAACACTTTCAGGATCGTATGTGACAAATTTAAAGGCAACTGGTGCAAACCGGAACCCATCCCACGCCCCTTTACGAACTCTGGGTGCAGAAATCCAACAGGGTGCAAGAATGGTCACTACTAGTAAGGCACTTGTTTCTAATAGCTTCTTGTTACTACTAGTAAGGCCAGGAGCCCCTAGTAGCTTCTTGCTCCTAGTAGTAATGGTCACTCCTTTTCCAATCCGGACCACAAAAAACCGGTCTTCCGCTTCGTAGGACAAACAAAGGACGCGACCTGGTGGAGGTTACACTCCAAACCTCTTCTTCTGTGGCCCTTGTACGCAAAACTCTTTGTAAAACACATCTCCCAACTTGGAGCACACAAATCTTGATTTTCTTCGCTCTCTGTTTCGAACGCACCCACCTCAGGAGCTTTGGCTGGCTCTTCAACTGGGATGTGCAAAAGACTAGTTGTTGACTGAGCCAATCCTAGCTACCTACAGGAATGCTCGGATCTTTTGGATATGCCAGTGTTGCTTTCAATAAATGACATATATCACCACGGGAGAACATCAAATTGATATTTCGTTGGTCAACAAGCTGTTCTAGCCACCCCTTTGCTTTGCAAACTCAAGGTAGCCCTTACCAGGCTACCTTTCACCGAGAAAATGTCATCCGGTATTTCTTGATGTTGCCAGGTCGAAGCTGTTGGACGTTCCAAACGAGCGTGCCCTCGACGGGTCGTTAATTGATCCCTATTCTGTGGACCTTGGGCGGCTTGCGCAGCGACCTGTCGTTGGGAAAAGTTTTTGGGCGTCTTGAAAAGCGTAGACACCTGTGTGTGTTTCGTGAGGTCAGTGCTTTTGCGGAGCCATGTGTCGAAATTCTTCCAAACGTGTGGCGCGGTGCAAATTTTGCTAAACGTGTCAAGGTATGAGGTTTTGACAACTTGACGCATCATTGTTTTGGAGGAAGTCTGCTCATTTTGGAGGCTTGATGTGTCACTTTTGGAGGAAATCTTGTACAAAGTGCTTGTCTTGAAGGCTTGACACGACACTTTTGGAGTTGGTCTCGTAGGAAAGGTGTCCTGCAAGTGTCCTACAAGCGTATCACGGCTGAATGTACTTCAAGAGTGTCTTTGATAAGCGTCAAGCAAGAAGAGTGTCAAACAACATTTGGCTGTTTGTGCTTGCATATGCCTGTGCATTCGGGATCGTGGATTCCACCCTGTCCCCTTTTTCCTTGCTTTCCTTTTTCGTGTCTGAAGCACAGCAAGGCACATGCCTTTTGACCACACACAGCCAGTATTAACTTGTGCTTTACAGGTCCAAGCAATCTATGAACCAAGTCCTCCAGTTTGCCGGTAAAGCCCGTGGAAAATCGGTGGAATTGCTTTGAACGCATCTTGTTTTTGCTGGTCAAAGAAGTGTGGACTGAGGACCTTTGAAGAATGAGTTCCAAATCAATATGGTTTCTTCGTTTTCTGTAAACTAGGAACAAGAAGCTACTAGGGGCTCCTGGCATCGCTACTAGGAGCGACGCTACTAGAACCAGTTTTGAAGGATGGACACCCTGAAATGAGAATAGTAGTAACAAGTGCATCGCTTGTAGTAACAAGTGCCTTACTAGTAGTAACAAGAAGCTACTAGGAACAAGTGCCACGCTAGTAGTAACAGGTGCCTTACTAGTAGTACACCAGGGACGAACCGGAGACGTCGTGCTAACCCACGCCTTCCTCCTTCACGCTGGCTGCGGCCGCCTGCAGCAAGAACACCAAAGTAAATTGTTACTACTAGCAAACATTGTTACTACTAGTAAGGCACCTGTTACTACTAGCGTGGCACTTGTTACTACTAGCAATGGAACATGGTAGCCAGTTGCGGTTAGCGGCCTCCAACCTAGTAGCTAGTTGCTGTAGCTACTGTCGAGACCAGCAGCCACAAGGGAGTTGCTTCACTGCCGTGACATGGTTGCCTATATTTCCATCTTCATAAGCAATGCAACACTGAACTGACTGAGCCCCAAAGCATAGATTCTGACAAATATGATGACTCTCTGCAACCAGCAGTTTCATTCAAACTATGCAGGTTGGCTTCTGGCTGCGGGATGGCTGTGGCGCCTGGAACAAAGGGTCTGGCTCAGGCTCCTGGGCAAGTTTTTGGTGCACTAACTGCCTCGAAGGGATGGTCATAGAAGCTATAATTAACATATCTCCGGCTTTGGCCCATGGCACATCACTCTCTTACCTGCCCTTTTTCGACTGGTTTCCACATCTGGGTACCTTTGTGCATATCCTTCGAAACTGGCCTTTGGGCACACTTTCTGGCCTCTTCTTGCGCGCGGAACATTTTCTCTGGGCAGCGTCCACGCGTCTGTCCCTAGGCAGCTTCCCCTCTTTCTGTGGCTTTCATACCGGTTTGGAAACTGCCGTTTGGAAACTCCTTACCACGAGCTTTTGAGCTAAGGGCGTGGGGAGGGGAGCTTGGTCCAATGGGTCGGTGGCGCCTGGGGCCTCAGCCGATTCTATTCGGGGGTGTCTCACGCGACATGTGTTTTTTGAGAGATACCCGGCGCCAGGGCAGCACGCGCTCACCGATTGTGAGGCAAGAGGGGAAACAAGGAAGCAACAAGAATGCTACTAGGGTCTCCTGGCATCGCTACTAGGAGCAAGGACGCTACTAGTGGCTCCTGGCCTTACTACTAGGAACAATGTTCGCTACTAGCAACAAGGATGCAATTCGAAAGCCAACAGTACCCTATTTGGGGAATATATTGTATGATCCTCTGCCTTCATGTTCTGACTTTCACCCATCCCACCAAAAATGCAACATCAGATTTATTATATCCTGAAGCGATAGAAGTATTTTCTTTGCTTTTTCCTTCTTACTTTCTATCGCTATTAGGTTGGAGGTCATCCCTAGTGGGTTGGAGGCCATCGCAAGAAGTATTTTCATTTTTCTTTTTATTCTCTTTCCAGCTTTCCCTTTGGCTCCTCGGCAGGTCCTGTCTGGACCGGCTCAGCCTGGACCGGCTCGGCCTGAAACTGAGATCTGGTGACATCTTCACCCGACTTCAACCCTTCCGTGCTCGCCTTAGCTTTTGGACTTAACTACCTCAAACAAAACAAAGCCAAAGAATGTCAAGAATAATCTAGACCGTCTTTTGGCATATCTCTGACAGAATCTGGATGAAGGCGCTTCTCGAAGGGAGAAGATGAAGATCCGCAAGTGGTTTTCGAAAAACAAGTTGTTAAGTGTTTTCATATTAGTGACTAGCGGGTCAGTCCCATTTCATATGCAAAAATCATCGTGTTTGGTATCGAACCCCTCGACCGGCAAAACTCTCAGGGTATGAAATGCTCAGGAGTACTAACAACTTTCCGAAGGCCTAGGAGACTGTTTCGTCCATGTGAAACTCAAATCAAAACACAACCAAACGTACGCCCACCAAGAAATACCACTTGCCTGAAAAGAAGCAAATATGTGAACAAGAAAAACACGTCTCTTCCAATCTGCAAAATTAGACTCACATTCCAACCCACCCATCCACAGTCCCAAAGAAAAGTGAAGAAAACCCAATGACACTCCACGACACAACTGCTTTGCGCGCCGCAAAGTCGAAAGCCTGTGGCTCGTTCTCCACTTCCGGCTGCACAGAACTTCTTTCTGCGTTCTCCTCAAACTCCTCGGGCTCCTCAGGTTGCTCCTCAGGTTGCTCCTCGGGTTGTTCTTCGGGTTGCTCCTCGGGCTCTTCGGGTTGCTCCTCGTCCGGCGCCTGCTCAGCCTCCTTGGATTTGGACTCGGGTCGTGGGCGCGGTGGACGATCCACGGATCCAGAGTTAGCCAAACAACAGAAGTTCTGTACTTCGTCGTTTTTCTTTGTCTCTTTGGATTCTTCAAACTCTTACTAATTCTTCCTTTCTTTTGCCTCTTGATTCTATCGTCGATACACTCTGACCAGAAACTCCGCAACAAAATGCAAAGCTTCACCGTCCTCCTCGACGTCTTCCACGAAATCTGCCTCTTCTTCGCCTGGCAGAGAGACTGGTCTTTCCAGATTCAGTCGTAGGCTAGGTTGGAGGTCATTGCGAGTAGCTACTCCTTAGTTGTTAGCATACTGGCTCTTGGCCAATCAATGATTGGTTCTTGGCTCCGCCAGGTCTCACCAAGAACTCCGACTCAAACGAAGCGGCCATTTGTGAGGTCACACCGCCAACCCATCCAGTTCTCGATCCTCTGACATGGAAGACTGCCTCTTGAAACCGGATTCCTGGCATCGCTACTAGGAGCAAAGGGCATCGCTACTAGGAACAAGTGCCTTACTACTAGGAGCAAGAAGCTACTAGTAACAAGTGCCACGCTAGTAGTAACAGGTGCCTTACTAGTAGTAACAAGGTTCGCTACTAGGAGCAAGAAGCTACTATTCCCCGGAGTGGGCCTTCGAAATAGGCCTCTTCCGCTTCCTCCAGCCTCGATGAGAGCGAACGATCAGAGTCAGTGTCGCGTGACCAGTGTTTAACGGAGGAGTTGGTCCACCGGTAGAGGATTGTTACTAGTAGCGACTTGTTTCTAATAGCTTCTTGTTACTACTAGTAAGGCACTTGTTACTAGTAGCGATGCACTTGTTACTACTAGCATTTGTTGTTGGCAAACAAGGGAAGCTGAAGGAGTGAAAAGCCTCCGATTGTTTCTTGCCTCCTTAGGCCTCAGCTTCCCTTCCAAAAATTCTGCATTCTGGTCTGATACCTACTTCCTATTCCCACTATCCACCCAGTCTCATGGCTGACTCGGCAAACCATGTTGATGCCGCACAACGATCTGCAAAGGTGGCTAAGCAATTTAAATCCCTGGACGCCCTTCTGCAAGGATCTCAAGAAACATGTTCAACATGGGCTTTGCCAGCGCCCTTTCTCGCCATTTTGCAAACCGTCACCAGTCTCTCCCCTCTTCATCCAGTGGCTCATAGTCGTAGTCTGTTCGCGGCTCCTCCCCTGCCGGTGCCAAGTCTTTTTGAAACGTTCTTGCAAAAAGGCGTCAGCAAAAGACAAGAATAAGTAAAAAGAAAAACGTAAGACTTCGTCTTTATCAAACGATTAGACGTGCTTTGTCAAAAAGGACATGCTTGGACAGGGTCGCAAGCCAACCCCCTAGCACGACTTAGTCTCAGAGCCGGTGGACTGTCCAAGGCCTACACACCCCTGACACCCAATGCAAACTTCCAAAGAGAAGACGTAGCTCAATCGAATGCAGGAGACGTCTCCCATACTGAGAGCCAAAAACCGGCAAGTAACCTTCAGAAGTTTTCACCTCGTTCTTGTAGATTTCTACTCTTGCGAGTGGTAGCATCTCATATTTGAAAAATAGTCACATGACTTTGTATCACTTCTGTTAGCGTCTGCAGTCACCCCTCTTCCAGTGCTACTTTTGACTCAGGAGACTTGAGACGGTCTCCAACCTAGTAGCTTCTTGTTACTAGTAGCGTCCTTGTTACTACTAGTAAGGCACTTGTTACTAGAAGCGATGCACTTGTTACTACTAGCTTCTTGTTACGTTCGTAGCAAAAGGAACCGAGTAGGAATGGCCTCCCCTAAGAGCAATGGCCTCCGCCCTACCAGATCCACCAAACGACTTCCTCCGGCCTTCCACCGGGACCTCCTGCGGCTCTGAGATTTCCACAGCTGGGGCTGCGGCCTCCGCCCGGTGATGTCACAGAAGCTGAACCATAACGACGGTGAGAACGCATTCTTGGTGAGAACAAAGAGAAAAGAACACATCAGAGAACGGCCTTAAAAAAGAAAAGATCAACATGAAAAACACCTTGAAAGACCCAAGGCGGGCAAGATGGGATTCTTCTTACAATCGCCGCTTTCTCTTCAAACCGGGCGGGTTGTTCACTGTTCACCGTCACTGGTCACTGATGCTTTGTCGGAAGTTGTTGAACACAAACACAACGATTTGTTCATTTCTGGTGTTTGATGGTCTGCATGAGGTAACAAACCCATGGGCCTCCTCAGCAAAACACATCTCACAGGCCTATTTGTGGGGGAATTGAATCCGCCTTTGTCCACACTTGCATGAGGTCATTCTGCAAAGCCCCGTCCACCAAATCCAAGCAAGCTTTCGTTTCTTCTTAGTTGGAGGCCATCGCTATTAGAACTGCATAGCAAACTGACCTCTGCACAGCTTAAGTTCCCCCCCCAAAAAGAGGTACGTAGTTTCATCGCAAACTTGAAGAAGCCTGAGCTCTCCTGCGTCCGTGGGAGCGTCCACTTGTAGCTACTAGCTACCTAGCTACTAGCGGCCTGCCCCCCGGGCCAAAAACGGAGTAATGCCCTTTGTTACGTTCGTAGCGATGCACTTGTTACTAGGAGCTTCTTTGTTACTAGTAGTAAGGCACTTGTTTCTAATAGCGAACATTGCTCCTAGTAGTAAGGCCAGGAGCCCTAGCAGCTTGTTGTTACTACTAGTAAGGCACTTGTTACTAGAAGCGATGCACCTGTTCCTGGTAGCTTCTTGTTCCTAGTTCGTCATTTTTTTTTCGGAATCGACAGCTCACCAATCTCACAGCCCAACCTTGGTCTCTGAGACCAGCTGGGCCTTCTTCCGCCTCAGCGACGAAAGGTGAGGCCCTGCGAGGTATGTCTTCTGACAATAAATAATGGTCCCTAGGTCCCTATACTATTGCCCAAAAGAGCAGGCAAATAAAGGTTATGTCTCTGAAAAAACTCTTTATCTTCTCTGAATCCTCCCTTTAAGCAATTCTTTGCATTCTTGCGTTCGTTGACCGAACTTTTCAAGTGTGACATAGAGGTGGTTGAGATTGCTGGACTTGCAAGGGGAGACTGCAGTGGTGCCATTAGGAGCTCGTAGCTTCCACGTCTTGGACATCTGCCCAATTCCCACTTGGCCAACGGGTGCAACATGTGTTTTCACTGAGTCATCCTGCTGGGAAGCTTCTGCCACCTGGCAATGGGAACAGAACACAAGTACAAAGCTTTGCGAAGCAGGCGAAGCGTAGGGGACTTTGCATTTAAGCCTTGCAAGGCAGACTGCAGCTCATCCTCCATGTTGTGGGCCCTCAAAGCTCCAGCTCACTGGAGGAACTGTTGAGTTTTTTTCTTTTATTTCCCCTAAAACTTTAGGAACCAAATGAATAGCGCGAGCTATTCTGCGTCCTAAGTAAGGGTGAGGGGCGACAAAAAAGAGTCGTCTCAATGTTTTCGAACCCACCGGAACGGTCCTTGTCCGGTCTGGAAAACGCTTCAAGAACGGAGCCCCGTTCGTAGCGTCCTTGCTCCTAGTAGCGATGCCAGGAGCCCCGTTCGTAGCTTCTTGCTTCAAGAACTATTGAAGAACATATGGCTGTTTGGCCTTTCACCGAAGAACGCACGCAATCAAGAAGTGCATGAAGTCCTCCAAAGTGACTAGCTTAGCCCCTTAGCTACACTTATATAGTTGGCCCCATAGGGCCAGGCACACTCTCCGCAAGGCACACCTTGGGTCGCTTTGCCGGCGGCAGATCGGCTTCCTCTTGTCGTTCTTCTCGTTGCCACTCCACTCGAGGAGCTTTGTCCTTCCTCACCTTATCCACCCTGTCCTCTGGACTCACCTCAGGCAGAGTGACAATGACTTCCGCGATCAGTTCCGGAGACTCGCCTTGGACATGAGGCAAAATGTCACTTGCTATGTTTATTCGGAAGCTAGTGAAAAAGAGTCGCCGCAAGAACACAGCCACCCCTATTCGTCCAAACCTTTGGTTGCAAAAAATATGTAATTAGACATACTGATGTACACATAACTTTTGACTCTAGCTTACCTGGATGAGAAGATTTCGCATGTGAGCACAACTTTTGCCTTGCAGAGTCACTGTGGCCATGTGCAAAACTCTGTGACTGCAGCCGACTTACCGCGATTTAGTACCGACGCAAACATCTCCAACAATCCCCCGATGAAGCCAAACTACCCGAAACAAGCATGCACCAATCCATCCAACCAACAAACGACTTCTCCGCTTCAATGACTTTATTGCCAATAGGCACTTCTCAACACCTTCACGTCTAGGTGACACTGATCATAGTGATGAACCGACAGAGCACAACTGATCACAATGGCACTGCGGCCTGCTTGGCTTGCTTGGCTTGCTTTGCAAGTGGCCTGCCACAGGTGCGAGCAACACTTGTGCGCATTACCTTCCCGGATCAAACTTGGATTCGGTCTGATGGCTTTCCGGCGGTAGGGTCTGGATGAAGACTGGGCATGGAATGGAGACATTTCGTTTGAATTTCCTTTCATTTGGCTGAGGCTTGTGCCGACACACCCAGAGGTCCCAACAAAGCAGTGCACCCCAAAATCAGTTGCCTCTCGTAAAGAAAAGCAGTGTGGATCTTCATTTTCAGTTCCTTGCTAAGGACTGAACATGAAAACAACACAAATCCTTCACTATTCGAGAAAGACTCTGCCCCCAAAGAAGGCCTGGAAGTCTCCGGGCGTCGAAAGGCACGAAGCCTCGAGGTTTGCGTTTGGGAAGAAAGGAGAAAAAGAAGAAACAAAGGAGGAGAAAACAATTGAAAAAACAAAGCACTTTCTCTAAATGTTTCCTAAAAGCCCTAAGCCGGGACTTTTTGGCGTGAATGTATCACAAAAAACACTTTCCCTCCAAAGACACCCCAAACTCTATTGAGGGATCACGACACTAAACAAAGAAAGAACTTCACAGGTTGCCTCTGCTCAAACGCAGTTTCCTTCACAACGAGTGACCTGCACAAACTCCTCAGTAGAAAATCACATTCACGGCAACTTGAGCTGCCGGGACTCGGCTTTGATAGGAAGCTGTGTCTGGACACTGACAAGTACTATTTGGCGGTCAGATTTGGGTCATATACCAGTACCCCGCAAATTTCTTGATGCCGCCCATGAGAGATCTTGTCGATGTGGAAGGTGATCGTGCATGCCCCATTGAGAGAATAAATGTGCCTACCTCTTACTACGAACAGCTTGGAGGCCATCGCTAGCAATTCGGTTGGAGGCCATCGCTATTAGGTTCCTTTTGCTACTAGTAACAAGGGCATCGCTACTAGAAACAAGGGCCTTACTACTAGTAAAAAGAAGCTATTAGGTTGGAGGCCCTTGGCATTTCAAATCCGAATGAAATGCTGTGGCCCCTTGCGTCTCGCGTGGGCTCACCGCATCTTCAACCTCCTGGTTTCGCCACTGGGCGTGACATGTACAAAAAGAAGTTACTAGTAACAAAGGGCATCGCTACTAGTAACAAGTGCCTTACTAGTAGTAACAAGAAGCTAGTAGAAACAAGAAGCTAGAATTTAATTAGAATTAAAAGTAATTAGAATCTAATTAATATTAGTAGCAAAGAAGGCTACTAGGACCTTTTCGCGCGCGCGTGCGGGGGGGGTGTAGGAACAAGAAGCTACTAGGAACAAAGGGCATCGCTACTAGGAGCAAGGACGCTACTAGGGGCTCCTGGCCGTACTACTAGGAGCAAAGACGCTACGAACGGAACAAAGGGCATCGCTAATCTAATTCACCCACATCCTGATCTTCTCCAATCACATTCTCTGAGACACCACTGCTCTAAAACGCCGAAAGCTCAGTGCTCTCCTTAATTAGCTTCCGCAATTCCTCCTCACGGCCTCAGCGTTTGAGCGAGGGAGGCTCGCTCGATCTTTTCTTCTCTCCAGATTCCCTACCCTTTTAGCTACTAGTAACACTAAGTGCCTTACTAGTAGTAACAATGTTTGCTATTAGAAACAAGTGCCTTACTACTAGGAGCAAGAAGCTACTAGGGGCTCCTGGCCTTACTAGTAGTAACAAGGTTCGCTCCTAGTAACAAGTGCCTGGGGGGAGGGTAGGCCGTAAATGGTAGCTAGTAGAAGCTAGGTAGCTAGTAGCTACTAGTACGCTACTAGCGACGCAGGATAGCGCTCGTAATGATTTGGTTCCATTTTGGGAACAGAAGTTCTTCCACTCGAACAGAAGCAAACGCTGCTTCAACAGTCCGAATCCCACATCGGATCTGAAACTAACATCCCGAACAAGGAAGGCAAATGACCTGCGACTTTCTTTCTTTTTTCTTTCTTCCTTCCTTTCTTTCTCGCTCTTTCTTCCTAATAGCGATGGCCTCCAACCTACCACAACTGCAGCAATCCTGTAGTCAGGGCCCGGGCGCTCACGGGCCTTCTGCCTCTTGAGCATCTCCGCAGAGAGGTGTTGGAACCTCGAGCGACTGGGTCACTGATTGAGTGAAGTATGGCCACTGGATGTAGAAAACAACCGTATGGACGTGCATAGATAAAGAGGTAAAGGGAATCACACATGAACCGGAGGTCCCTTTCCACTAAACCACGTTGGCTTGTGGAATCTGAGTTGTTTGTCTATGGCAGTCGCATCCCAATGCAGCAGCCTGCCAATGAGGTTCGCATGTTTACGAGGACAGACCTTCGTTGGGCTTCCAACGCAATCTCCTAAAGCCGGAAAGTTCTTCGTTTTAGACTCTGGGGAGAACACAGCGGAGCACCGTCTGATTTCTCCAAGTAGCTCCTCCTTCTCCTTTCTCAAGAGCTCTTTCCCTTAGGAGAAGGATACGGACTTGCTGACACACAGCTATTCACATCAAGGGGACCGAGCGGTCCTAAGGTATTTTTGGAAAGGCACTCTTGCAAACACTTGCAGTAACAAGAAGTGTTAGGGGCTCCTGGCCGTACTACTAGTAGCAAGAAGCTAGCAGTAGCAAAGTTGATGGTGGTTTTCCCCATGATCCTTTTCCCCATGATCAATTCAACAAAGGCGTACGGACCAAAAAAGGCGTTTGAAGCTTCGAATGGATGTCAACCTGAGGTCAACCTGAGGTGAATCCGCTTTTTGTGAATGCAACACGTGGCCCTGACCCAGCCACAAATCCCTCACTATGGCTCTGTGAGGGGGCCTCACTGAAAAGTGGCTAGCTAGCTCACCAAATGAGGGTGAACCCCCACTTTGTAACCCATTCAAGCCATGCATTTTGCTTCTCGCCTGCAAAAAACAGAGCTTCCAAACGTCCCAGCTTCGGCTCGAGACCCCCGGCGCTCTGAGTGCACTTTTGCCTTGATCAGGTGGAGAACTCACAGGCAAAAGTGTTCTTGGTTCACATGGGCATTACTACTAGTAACAATGTTCGCTACTAGGAACAAAGGGCATCGCTACTAGGAATAAGGACGCTACTAGGTTGTTTTGCGGTGAAAGGTGGACCTTGTCACATTAACCTCCCTTCAGTGGTCAGTCCTAAGACGAGGCTTTCCAGGGCTCATGTTACATGCTGAACTCCTATGTGGAGGGAAATGCTCTTCTCCGCTCCCCTTTGACGATAACTTCTCCTACGATCTCCCACGAAGTGCAAAAAGTGAAGTCCATGTGAGCCACACACCATGTGAACCAAGGTGTGAACCAGGTGATGTGCATCGCTACTAGTAGTAAGGCCAGGAGCTACTAGTAGCGTCCTTGTTCCTATAGCGATGCCCTTGTTACTACTAGCGATGGCCTCCAACTCCAAATGCTGATTTTCTATCGTCCCCAGCTGCCCTTTGGAAAGCGACGCTCGCGACAATCGGTGCCTTGCGTGTGAGATCGGCGTGCAGGATCTGGATAGCTTCCTCCTTGCGAGGAAAAACACTTGGAAAAGCCGGGCTTTCAGTTCCGAAAGCTTTTCAGTTTCAAGGAAACTCTCAAAACAGCAGTCCAAAGAAACACAAGAAACGTCTCCAGCTGGCAAAGGAGGAAATTCACACACCACACGACTGCGATGTGCAGAATGAACAAGGAGAATGAACTCACCCCTTGCTGTTGACTGCCTATGTGGTCACTTAGGGGACCCATTCAACACCAAAACCACCAGGTGGCTTTTCAGCAGTGTGGGCAAACATACAATGAAGCAAGCAAAGGATTCCTGCCATTCCAAACATCCCCAACAAAACATAGAAAAAGCAGCATCCAACACAAAACACCTTTTAAAAGCTACGAGTGTTTCCATTTGCTTGGGGTGAGCCAACGACGGTCCGTCTGGGTTGGTCCACCAGCGCGGTAGCAGTCTCGGCCTCCACGACGACCATAGCTTCTTCTTTCTTAATCTCTGCTCTTCGGCGTTCCAACCTGGCCAGTTGGCAGTGGATCACAGCACCTAAAATCATATTGAGCAGAAAAATCACCGAAGTACAGCTGTAGTACTTTCGATGTTTTGTGATGTGAATGCATAGCCAAGCATATGTGTGCATATCAAGTGGCGCAAAAACACTTCTCTTGTTTGAGGGTGGGATTACACTCATATGCAAGTTTGTAGTTTTTCTGAAACTAGGTTCATTCCCACGTGAAAACCAGACCAAACATAAATGATTCATAGATACAAAGGAACACATGCTTGCCCTGCCGCTAAATGGCGATCTAGCCTTAAAACCAATAGTCTTTCAGAATTGCTCAGTGCACGAATCTTGCCGTCGTTGAGGTATGGGAGTTCACAGGAGTAGTTCCAAATGAATTTCGGGAGATTGTCGACCTGGAGCAAAACTTCACAAATCAAGGCTGAAGGGAAATGAATACATGCTATCCTGGGTAGTTATGATGAAGTGTGTATGAGAACATAGAAAAGTGTCATAATGCACCGATGATGGTGGTCTGGACGGAAATTACATACAAAACAAATCAATTTGATAAACAAAAAATCGCATCGTACTGCATCACAATTTATATACTCACAGCGGCCAGCAGGTCTTACTTACTTACTTGCTGGCCTACCTCCGTTTTAGCTGCCTACCCAAGCCTTAACAAAAAGACAGTCAATTGAACAAATACATCACTTCGAGTGATCCCAACCATGACATTTCAATCTGACAAAATTTGCGGCATGTATTGAATCACTATTTCCACATTCCTTCTGGCCTATCTTTCGACATCCTTTCTGGCATCTCTTCTGACATCTTTTCTGGCGTTCTATGTGGCATATCTTCTGACTCGCGGTTGAGGTCCGGCAGAGAACACTGGCATCCACCACTTGCGGTTGAGGAGGCGAGGAGGAGGAGGCGGAGGAGGCCGGACGCGAGGCAGCTGACATAAAAATCTAGCCGCCCTCACCTGACAGGCGGGGAAAAAATAGATGAATCCAAGCCTCCGCCTCCGTCCATACCTACAAACGGTTTACAAACAAGCGGTATTCATTTACACAGTCTATTTAAATTGTATTATATACAATTTCCTTTAAAAACGTTTACGGTTAATTTGCTTCACAATTTACCCAACCTCCACCGTAGCCCCTCCTCTCTGTCCTTGGGGCTCGGACTCTTCCTTCCGCTGCTCCAAGCGCTGCTGCCTTCGTTGTGCCTCCACGCGCTTCAGCTCGTGGTTTTCCACCTGTGCAAAACAGCAAAAACAAACAGGGCTCAAACGCCACTAAGAGCAAGGACGCTACTAGGGGCTCCTGGCCTTACTACTAGGAGCAAGGACGCTACTTGGGGCTCCTGGCCTTACTGCTACGAGCAAGGACGCTACTGGGGGCTCCTGGCCTTACTACTAGGAGCAAGGACGCTACTAGGGGCTC